GAGGCATTAGATAGGTAATGGGTACGTTTATATACAATCTGACCTACTTTTAACTCAACATGTCGTTTTCTTAAGTTATAGTACTTTTCATTTCTAGAATGAGCATTTTTAATATGCTTTTGTACCTTTTTAAATACGGTGTCTAATTCCGCTAATTTTTTACTGTATGCTTGTGGTTCACCGAGAGTTACTTGTGATCTTTGAACTGGCTGAGGGCTATCTAAGCTGTGTAACATTCCATCTATTATGAATTCCCGTCCGTGCACAAGAAAATACGGAGTAAACTTAGTGGTATCATTCACGGCTGAATTAAGTGCGCATTGCAACTGTGGGACGTTCTCGTCCCATCGTTTATCCTCGGTACCTACATAACATGATATACCGTTAACTACGTTCCTAATCCCTCTTTCGGCTTGATTTACCTGTGGGTGATAACGCGGGTTATAATAGATATTCGGTACGTTATATTTATGTAACAGTTGCCTAAACTGATTAGACACATACTGTGGGCCATTGTCAATATAGATAGTCTTACATACGCCATGTACTAGGAACACTTTCTCTTCTATGAACTTAGCGACCGCAGCGCCTGTTGCGATCCGTATAGGATGCAACATGACACACTTGCTAAAATAGTCTGTACATACAATTAAGTGAATATTCCTATTGCGAGAAACCGGAAATGTTGCGAGCCTCTTTAAGTTCCTCAAGACGTTCAATAAATACACGAACACACGTGGTTCCGTCAAATTTTAAGTTAAATGTATTTAGGTTCAAGGGTTTATCTTTCACATAGATCACGTTACTTTCCACTTTCTGGTTAGACGGCTGTGCCTGGGTTTCCTTGTACTCACTATCCGTGTCGCTATCTTCACCGTCTATGACACTCAAAATGCGAATCAAACGACTACGAAGATCTGACAAATGCGAACTACTTTCAGAGATACGAGCTAGTCTATCCATCAAATAATTTGCACGACGAGACAGTTTAAGAGTCAAATTGCGATCATCTACTTTACCCGCCTGCAGCTGGGATTCCAGAAGTTCGACCTTTGGGGTGCAGATCTCTAGTTCAGAGGCTATACTGGGTGACTGGAGTGGTTCACACTTTATGCTTCCACGGCGTGCGAGTTTGTACACCTGGCGGATCTGCTTCCTCACTGCATCGGTGGTTACATTTTCATTTGTGGAAATACCAATAATGGCGAGTTCATATCTGATATCATCTTTATGTAATGAGTCTATATACTTGTGGATCGACATTTTGTTAAAATGTACTGACGGTTACAAGAAAGTCTTAAATCGGTTGATATTAAAAATATCTACTTAAAATAGCACAAATATTTTTATCATGTTAAGTTTTAATTCATTTAAGTACATATAAATCACATTCAAGTTAAACTTTCTTTGTTCTCAAGCTTACTTAAATCTACGTACATCAGAAAAAAAAATGTTAACATTAAATTTCACTAAGTTTTCATATTAAATGGGTTTTTAACAGCTTAAATAGTTACAATTAAGGTTAATTCATCTACTAACATCCAGCAACTTAAGGTTCAACGTTGGGTAGCCACTTTATAACACTTTTTAGGGCGTTACTCACCGGCTACGGTTATCGGAGAGTCAAGGGACTCGAGGATCAAAATAAAAGTATCCCAGGGCGCCTGTTGTTGGATGATTAGTAAATGAAAATTCTAAGATACACATACAGACAAAATGTAGTTTATTTCCTTCTACGGTTCACATGTATAGCTCCAAATATCAAGTTTTCACTTTAAAATACCCTACGAACTGAGGTTTTGACTAACCTGGTGGATTACACAATATTACACTGTTTATGGTCAATCCCGCGAAGCAGTGAGGCAACAGATATCCTCCAGGTGTACGCCGGTCGCGGTCTCCTGGCCGCCCAGTCCCAATATAGCCACCCGTTGAAGCTGCCTCGCCTCGTTCACATTGTTAAACTTGATAATGGACCATACTCAAAGTACGGACTAAGGACTAAGGACTAAGGACTAAGGACTAAGGACCCCTATGACAAGGCAAACGAATCTATGAAACACCTTGTACCGTTAATTAGAGCACATGTGCTTTTAAGAAGACAAAAACATTAAGTACTTACAATTTATGGGATGATGTGTTTCAACACATTAAACTGCCCGTAGAAATTGTGTTTAAGGGGCCGTACGCCCAAGTAGTTGTCACTTTAAATTCATGTTCCGGCGTTTCGATTCAAAAATTATATATGTGCGTGTCCGATCATTACAACGGCTCGCTCCAAAAAGAACTAGGCCTCCCTTGGGCTACACGCCACCGTCGATCCGTGGTAGGATTTCGAACTAAGACGAAAGGTCAATTGCATGCAATTAGCTAACTCGATTCGTCAATATACGTTTCTAGTTACTTCGGACTAATGACGTTAGATGGCGCTCTGAAGTCTGTTCATCGCATGTAATAACGTAAATATGCTAAAATAATGTACACGAAAATTTTCGTGTTACAAGGGACACGAAATATTCGCAATACTAATACAACAGTAACTATCCTAAATCCATATCGCTGCCGTCGAACACTAATATAGCTTCAAATGCTGCAAATAAAACAGCTGATTGTCTATGTTGCGGGGCGGCACATACGCTTTTCAAATGTCCTAAGTTTCAAGAACTTGATATTTCTGAAAGTTAGTAGGCTTAGTGTCTAATAAAAATATTTGCATGAATTGTTTACGTTTAAGTCATAATACAAAAAAATGTTTTTCTGCTTACTTGCTCAACTTGTGGTGAGCGTCATCATTCATTGCTCCACGATAAAACTACCATTGCTGCTGTTCCGTGTTGCTCCACTGACAAAACTAGCGACAAAACAGTAGTTACGGCTGACGACGTGATCGCGAATGCGAGCTCCGTGACTACCAGCGCTCACGTTGGTCATAGTCGTGCTTTCGTTTTGCTCGGCACATGTGTAGTGCGCGTGCGTGGTTGCGGTGCTCCCGCTCAGTATACTACCACCCCCACACATATTGACAGTGGAGCTCAGGATAGTTTTATGACGTTATCACTCGCTCAACTTCGCTGCTGCAATTTAGCTGTAGCAGGTTTAGGAAAAATGTAGTGCATCAAATAATGGGTGAAACTTCGTGCGTGGTAATGCCAACGGATTCTGATATTCCAAACTTCACTATTAATGCCATAATATTGAATACAATAACAAGTTAAATGCCTGTTGTAGAAGTACCTTCTCAGGTTCGTGAAAATTTTAAACATCTAGTTTTAGCAGACAAACAGTTCGACAAACCCACTAATATAGACATGCTGCTTGGCGCAGAGCTATTCCATAAAATTTATGATGGCCGACGCCTAGAGATAGGTCCTGCTTTACCAGTCGCTCTACAAAGTGTCTTTGGGTGGGTGCTCACTGGCAAAATTGATCACAGCTGTCACCCTCCACCTATGGTTTCTTCCCTAGTTACTTCCACGCGGCTTTTGAATGACGTGGTCAAGCGTTTTTGGGAGGTTGAAGAACCACCGAAAACATTTATATCGAACCCCGAAGATGTTAAATGCGAAGAACTATACTCTACTCTTGTGTCACGAAAACCTGACGGTCGTTACGTCGTTCCTTTGTTACTGAAGAAGCCTTGTGATGATCTGGGTGAATCTTTCGAGATGGCAAAATCACGCTTATTCAAACTCGAAAAGCGACTTGAGCGCAATGTAGAGTTAAAAGAGGACTTTTCTGATTTTATGACTGAATATTCAGATCTGGGCCATATGCAACCCGCAGACATTGGATCAGGCAAATTTGTAATTTCGCATCATTGTGTACTCCGCCCTGAGAGTAGGCTACGACAAAACTGCGTGTCGTTTTTGATGCAAGTGCCAGAACGACGAACGGAAAATCGTTAAATAATATCGTGTACACTGGGTCTAAGCTTAAAAATGACATTACTGATGTACTGATAAAATTTCGTCTTCACGCAATAGTGTTCACATCCGATATTTCGAAAATGTATCGCAATATAGATATACGTCAGGAAGATCGAGAGGGGCAACACGTGTTGTGGAGAAACTCTCCAGCTGATCCTGTGCATGAGTTCGAATTAAACACCGTGACATACGGTGTGACCAATTGACCGTCCTTAGCCATTCGTACTCTGCATCAATTAGCGGTCGATCATGCTTCTGTGTATCCTCAAGCGGCTGACGTTATATGTCATGAAACTTTTATGGACGACATAACAACCGGAGCGCCATCTCTTAAACAGGCACTTGAGCTCAAAGATGAACTTATTAAACTACTAAGCTGTGCGCAATTTGAGTTGCGTAAATGGAGTAGTAATTCGGCCGAGTTTATTGCAGCTCTACCGTCTGAACATTGTCAAATACCTAGGGCCTTTTGTGACGAAAATCACGAACATATCCTTAAAATTCTTGGTATTCAGTGGAAGCCCGTAGAAGACTTATTTAAATATTCAGTGTCCGGGTTCGATTCCAATTTAACAAAGCATGCAATGTTATCAAATATTGCTCGCATATATGACCCAATTGGTTGGCTCACTCCTGTTGTTCTTATAGTCAAACTATTGCTTCAAGACATGTGGCTAAGAATTTCCTGAGCGTATCAGAGCTGGAGCAGTCTATCGTCTATATGGTTCGACATGAACAAAAACTTCATCTTACAGATGAAGTCAAAGCCACCAAATCCGTTAAAAAACTGAGTCCATTTATTGATGATGCGGGATTGCTGCGAGTGGGGGCCATCTAAAGCACTCTAATCTACTGGCAACCGTAAAACATCCCGTATTGTTGCCAAAGGCTTCACGCTTATCCTTGTTGATCATAGATCACTTTCATGTCAATTACTTACACTGTAGTCTTCGTACTCTTCAATCGATTATTCAGCGTAGATATTGGATACTTGGCATCCGTAACTTGATTCGGTCGCGTTTATCTAAATGCATAGCATGTTTTAAAGTAAAACCGGTTGCTTGTCAGCCTTTAATGGGAAATCTTCCTTCACCAAGAGTACAACCGACGCGGTGTTTCCAAAATGTGGGAATCGACTTTGCCAGTCCATTCATGGTGAAGAAAAGTCGTAGACGAAACGCTCGTACTTACAAGGCCTACGTGTGTGTATTCGTTTGCCTCGCGATAAAGGCTATCCATCTTGTGGTAGTGACCGAACTATCGACTTCTGCTTTTCTTGCGGCATTAGATCGCTTCGTATCGCGTCGTGGCCTTTGTACCTTCATAGTTATCGACTGCGGCACTAACTTTATTGGTGCCCGCCGTTAACTTAACGAATTACAACAAATGGTTTGTAAGAATAAGGATTCACTTGAGTCTAGTCTTGCGAAACGAAACATTATCTGGCGACTGAACCCTCCTACCGGGAGTAATTTTGGTGGCATATTTGAGAGCGGTGTAAAATCAATGAAGTTTCACTTAAAACGCGTTATAGGGTTACAAGTATTGACATTCGAGGAGCTCATAACAATTATTACTAAAGTCGAAGCCGTACTTAACTCGCGACCGTTGTGCTGTCTATCCCCGGATCCTAATGAGGTTGATATTCTTACACCTGGTCATTTTTTGGTCCATGGTTCTCTTATATCGTTACCAGAACCTGAACTTTCTAATGAATATGTTCCACCTCGGGCCCGCTGGCAGATGTTGCAAAAACTTACACAGTCTTTTTGGCATATTTGGCAACGCAATTATCTCCATACCTTACAGCAACGCGCGAAATGGTTTCAAGAACAACCAAATATTCATGTCGTAGATATTGTACTAATTGTCGATAGCAATTTATCTCCACTAGAGTGGGGTTCAGGTAGAGTTCAAGACGTGCATCCTGGCAAAGACGGTGTAGTGCGCGTGGTCACCCTACGAACTACTAATGGACTCCTTAAGAGACCAGTAAATAAACTGTGTCCTCTACCTTTAAATCAATAATATATAGCTATGCTTAAAAATAAAAATAAAAAATCAATTTTTTCTCATAATTAATATTATAGTTTTTGTTATTTAGCTTGTAGGTATAGTTAGTTATTAAATTTTGTTGCATATCTTTCTAATAGGTATGCAACTCAAATTCAAGTATTAAAACTATCGTTAGGTAGATATTATTCTAAGTTAGTTTCTATTTCGTGAAGTATGTAGTTTTATAGGGAGAACTGCTATTATTACTCATGAAATCTGTAACGATTTCAAGTGGTAGGAATTATGTACTGGCTTGCCTTCCTAACTTTTCTGTCATATTCTTCCTTACAATTACATGCAAAACAAAACTTATGGCGCCATCTGTTGGCCTACAACAAAATAGTCTGCAAAAGAAGTCGACGCGATCGATACTCACATGTGATATCCCTACACTAGCGGGACACCTACCCGAATGGGAGGACGACATAGAGCTGTCTCTATACGCGGACGAAAGCGCCTACTTTACCTCGTCCAGAAGAGCCCATCTCGCCCCTGCCAAAATGCTCCATTACGTCCTGTCCAAGCTCAAATAACAACCAAGCTGAAAATTTATAAATTATACATTAGAACGAAGATCACCTACCCTGCTCCGGCCTGGTACGCACTCCTGAGCGAACGGCAGAGGCAGCAGCTGCAGGCTCAGCAGAACCTATCACTACGGACCATCGTCGGTGCAGGTTGCTACATCCGGAATGATGTCTTAGCGGCCAACCTCATGATGGAGACCATGAAGGAGTTTGTGGTTCAATTGGCGCACGGTATGTTTAACCGCGCCGACAACGGGCCACACCCCACCTCATCAACATGGCACCTTTACATGCCCGGGCCCCCGACGGGCTACCTCTAGCAAGAGAACTCCTCTCTATAAAGATAACTTTTATTATTATACTTTTTACGTGGTAGAGCCATGCTGCAGCTATATTAGTAGTATAGTTATAGCACGAATGGGTCGGCTCGACCGAGGAAGGACCAGGCTCTCACAGAATACCAACGTAAAATAGCAGCTTAACGCTGCTGTGTTTCGTATGGTGAGTGTAAAGAACCGAAAACCCTTTTTACTGGAAATGAGGCATTCCATCTTAGACCTCACCGGTGATGACGAATTTGCATTTTGATTTGCAATAGAGGATAGATGTGGATATCTCTGGGCCGCAGTAATCACTTACCATCAGGTGGACTGTGTGCTCGTTTGTCACCCTTATCCTATAAAAAAAAAATTAGAAAGCCGAGTAACAACCCTCAATGTCGCGGATAGACCAACTTCGACTTTTATTGATACTAATTTGGAACGGGGAACCTAACCCCGGACCGCTGCATTACCTACAACGCCATAACGGCTCCCACGACCGGTACATAGTAATGTACCTCGAGGAGATTCCGAGAAATGGGAGATGTCCCGAGGACCGAAATCTACAGTGCAACTATGCATATGCAGATCACAACGTAGTAGGTTAAATTGTGGAAAATCACTACCGAACAACTGGAAGAAAATCCAATTGAAGAAAATATCTGAAGAATGTAGTAAACAACTAATAACAACAACTAATAACAACAACTACTAACAATAGTGAACAACTTAGGGAACAACCGATAGTGAACAACCGTTGTAACTACTAACCGTCAACAATCGTAGTCGGCGAACGATTGTTAGAAGATTTCCGCCGAACAGTTGAGCCGCCGAACTGCTGGCCACTGCCTCGCCGTTCGTATTCTATGGTAAGTGCATTTTGATTGGACGCCCGGCCATAGTACCCCAGCCGCACCCAACAAAAGGGCAGTAGACGACCACCAGAACCTATATGTGTAGAACGTGAGCGATTTGAGTTTTACATTATAAACATTTACTTCCGAGTTTCGCATGTCCGACACAATTTTCAAGTTTAGGCATATCAAAAATTAATTTTCAACTATGGAATCACGTTTTGATTCAACAAAATCCACAATCATTCAAATCAACAAAAGAATCGTTATGATTTGTAACTCAACGAAACGAAAAATCGACACTAAAAAGAGACAAACTTATACAATATATCTATAGGATTCAGCCTTCGAGATAATGATGTAAAATAAAGTATACAGTATTTCCTATTATCTCGGTCTCCTTTTATGAAGGTTCCGCTTCTATCGCATGTGAACTGCACACATGTTTTTTTAATTATAAAAGTACCCGAAGTTATAAACTGGAAATTTTTGCAACATGAGCAAGTTCGCTTTTCAGCTAAAGTAAGAAATATTTAAATTTTATTTTTACCGAAAGCGTTGTCGGATCCTTTTGGAAAATTATCTTCATTTCTTTGTCACATTTTATTTACTTCTCCGTCGTAATCTAAACGCTCAATCAGATGTATTTATATTTAACAGTGGTAGAGCAACGCGGCAGGGTGGTATCATGACTCATCGGCTACAGATTTCTTCCTACAGCAGATCCCATTCGCAGAGATCGTGATCCTTGGCGGTTTCAACGCCCATCACGCCGAATGGCTCGGTTTACGTTTAACCGATTATGTTGGAGATGTGTTTATGATTTTGCCTTGGCATATGGTTTGACACAACTGGTTACTTCGCATACGCGGATTCTAGATGTGGACAATCATGCTTCTTCCTTGTTGGACTTTCTGGACTCATCTGGACGGATATCAGTTTTTCGTCGATGCCTCTCTGAGCTTATTGGACCATTGTCTTGTCTGGAGTGTGGTATCACTCAAACTAACGTCGCGTTTGCATTATGCAGGCTGCCGCCGTGTTTGGCACTATAGGTCGGCTGATTGGTATAGGATGTGGTCTTTTTTTGCATCCTACCCTCGGGGTAGGGTTTGATTCTCCCCGGACGATCCCAACGTTGTTACAGATTCTGTCGCCGATGTGGCACTTCAGGGTATGGAACTTTTTCTTTTATCCTCTGTAGTACCCTTCGGAGGTAGATCCTCGCCATGGTTAAATAGCAGAAGAGTTCCTGTTAAATAGTATCACGCTATAAGCAGGAGTGCTATCGGGCATGGGTTGACGCATCTCGGGATATAAGCACCAGCGATCTCAAAAAGAAGTATAATGGCGCCTTCTCATCTTTCAAAAGAGTCATTGCCAAAGCAAGGTCTGAGCACATCAGCAGAATTGACGAGAAGCTAGATCGCCTACCTCTAAGAACCTGTGCATTCTAGTCTCTTGCCAAGGCTGTCCAAGGGAACTTCTGTTAGCCACCTCTTCCATCTCTGCACAGAGAGGATGACTCAATGGCTCATGCCACAATGGAGAAAGCCGATCTGTTAGGCTCTCTCTTTGCGTTCAACTCGACTCTCAATGACGGGGTGAACACACCGCCGACCATCCGGCAGTGTACGTGCTCCATGCTGGATGTGCGGTTTACACAGTGCTCAGACTTCCAGGGCGAGTAGTGCTTTGAGCACTACTCGCCCTGGAAGTCAGCAAGTGGAGTGGGCCTGAGAGAATCCCTCCCATTCCGCTAAAGATGTATGCTCCGGAGTTGGCACCGGTTTTAACGCGTCTTATCGGGTACTCCTACTCCCTAGGCGTAGTACCGAAATCATAGAAGACAGCTTTCGTGCACCCGATCCCTAGAAAAGGTAACCGCTCTGATCCGTCCAACTATAGGCCTATCTATCATTACCTCCTTATTCTCCAAAATAATGGAAACGATTATTGACTGCCAACTCATGCGGTACCTTGAGTATCATCAGCGTAGTAGTGACCGCCAGTACGGTTTCGATCGAGGTCGCACAACTGGTGATCTTAAAGGTTACCTAACTCATAGATGGGCGGAGGCAGTTGAGTCCAAAGGGGAGGCATTGACCGTTAGGTTGGACATAACAAAGGCCTTCAAATATCATTTTCATAGTTTTCGAGGGTGTTGAAGCCGATAGTGCTGTCGAAATGTAAATCCAAGGTGGCGGCTGCAATATATATCAAGTTTTACATCTTGGGTGTCATTTTTATGGTTTTCGAGGGTGTTGAAGCCGATAGTGCTGTCGAAATGTAAATCCAAGATGGCGGCTGAAGTAGGTACCAATTTTTTCATTTTGGGTGTCATTTTCATGGTTTTCGAGGGTCTTGAATTCGATAATGCTGTCGAAATGTAAATCCAAGATGGCGGCTGCAATAGGTATTAACTTTTTCATCATGGGTGTCATTTTCATGGTTTTCGAGGGTGATGAAGCCGAAAGTGCTGTCGAAATGTTTTTAAACTACTTTAAAAATTCCGTATAATCATGTTATACGTAAATTTTTTAATGCGCTTAAGGTATGCCCAACTGGATTTACCAATATATTTTTAATTTTGCTCAAACTCTCCTTCCGCA